AAATATTGAGGTGTTTGATATGCTCTGAAACTCTGCTGGAAGTTACATTATATACAGTGTATGCACATTATCTTCTAAAATTAAAAAAAAACAAAAACCTGAATTTGGAAACACATCTGCTCCCAAAGGTTTATGTATTTTTAACTTAAAGAAAAGATCACAAGGTACAAATTTGGAAAAAGAGAGAAAAGACTGTATTTCTTCTTAAGGGTTACAGCCTGCCAGGTGGCCAAACTGCAGGCTGGGAAGCCTTCCTCTGGCCACATCCAGAGACAGGCACTTTGAAGGAGGAGGGGTTGAAATGGAAGCTTTATACTGAATGAGTTGACCAAACATACATATTCAACAGGTTACTGAAGGAGCTATGAATATTCAGGAAGGGGCCATGACACATGCACATTGAACAAACATGCATGTTACATGTTCACTTTGAAGTGGAGACTTAACATTTGCATGTATTACAACTAGGCTCTATATGTCAAATGGTCACTTTAGGACAGGAGAGCACAGAAGTGCGCAATCTCTGTAAAAGGGCTAGAATCAGTCCATGATTGGTCTTATCAGGAGAAAGCTACTGAAATCAGTCTCATGTCCAATCAAAGCTATAGTTACAGTTGATGGAAGAAGGTACAGTTAGTCAGCATCTAGTGTAGCTGCAAATTGTTTGAATATTGGTTATCTCAGGGCCAGTGCTTGTTTAGCTGCCAGAGAAAAAGGAAAACCTGTGTCAGTTAGAATATAGTTTCTTCTTTAAGTGAAAGGATGCGTGACTTAACCCTTCCCTGGCATGGACTTAGGTCCTGCTTATAATTTGGTATCTTATTGCCACAAAGAATCTATTCTATCAGTCTAATGATCTCTATTTTAACTTTAATGCTGGTCAGTTGTGTCTAAACCACAAAAGGGAGGAGGGTATAATGAGTCGTCGTGTCTGACCTCTCACTCTGTCAGGGCTGGGAATTCAGTTTTTAAGTTTTTTCTGGTATCACTTTTGCCACAAGGGGTCTGTTTAGTTGGCCAGGGTTGGGGTGGGGATTGGATTTTATTTCTAGTTTATGTTATATAATGTGTAATGAACATCTATATACTTATCATTTAGATTTTATAATTGTTCATATTTTGTCATATTTAACTCCCCACCTTTCTTTCTCTCTGCTGAAGTATTTTAAATTAAATTATAGACATCATGGCATACCATCTTTGAATACTTCAGTACCCATCCCTAAAAAGTAAGAACATTTTCCTACAGAACTACAATATCGTCATCACACGTAACAAAATTTAAAATATCACAGAGATTTTTCAATGCATGCCCTTTTGTACCTCTTATATTTTGAATCCTTGGCTATGTAACTTATTCAATAAACAATAAAATTTAAAATTAAAAATAAACTGAATAAGACCTTTAATACTTAAAATTGCCAGAAAGCTATGGGAGCTGCTCAAGGCACCATTAAGGGACAGGAAAGGATTTACAAGAACAAGTTGAACCGTCTCAAAAAAAAAAAAAAAAAGGAAAAAACCGAATCGTTATATTTTAATGCCCACCTGAGTTGAGGCTGGTGTAAGTGGGGCTTTCAACAAGTCAGTACTGACAGAGCATGGTAGGTATGAAAAGTCAATCCAAATCCCAAAGTGTCTATTGCTTTGAAGAAAAGTTTTGTCCTCTCCATCATGGAAAGAGTTGAATGTAATCAATTTACCATCAGGTGACTGGCTGTTTCCACTGTGATATTACATCATATCTAGGGATTAGGATTGGTTTTGGCTCTTGCAAATTGGATTTCAACAGAAAAGCTTTTGTCTTGTTTTTTGAGCCTATGTACGGCCTTCATCATGGCAGGCATGGTCCCTATGTTCAAAAGTTTCTTGAGCAAATGCTGAAATAGCTGAAAAAAGAGTTGCTGATATCCATAGAGCAGATTGTTAAGCAACAAAACTTGGGTCTGCTTCTCCAGTGCAGCAAAGCCAAACATTGACACTAGGATTTGCAGTGAGAGAAAGTAAGGCATTTATTGCAGAGCACCAAGCAAGGTTAATGGGCCACTAACACTTAAGATCTGAAATCTTTGTAAGATGGCTTACAAGCAAGAGTTTTTAAGCCATGGATGAGGGGGTTCTCCAATGTGAGTTAAAGGCTGGAAAATTTCTAGGACTTCCTTATCCATCTTCTGGTTCCTGTTTGTCAAGGTCTATATGACAGTGACCAACATTTTCCATCTAGTGGAGGTCCTGGTTTCTGAAAAACAACTCAACTCAAGGACATATGTCAACATGTTATCTTTAGTTTCTATAAGGAAACAAACATCTCATGACTGACTCACTTGAGTGACTATTGTTTGTGCTATTATTATCTTCTTGCTTAGCAGGTTATTAATTTATTTCCCTAGTTGCTGGTTGCAGGGTGCCCGGAATTTCCCTTGAAGGGACTCACAATTTTTCCTTTATTTTCAAGCTTAAGGAGGGATCCCAGTAGGCTGTGAAGAGGAGGAGTCCATGTTCTCTTTCAACATCATCTTGTTCACTTGCTTACTGAAACCCTCTGACACAGTAGGTTAATGAAGATTCATATAGGATACAAATATTTGTACATTTGGTATCCATTCTAAGAGATCTATCCACATGCAAGCTAGTTCCATCAATAATCTCTTTGTCACCAATCCTCCAAGTCCTTCCTTCCTTCTTCCCTCCCTCCCTCTTTTCCTTTCTTTCTCCCTTTCTCTCTCTTTCTTTCTTTCTTTCTTTCTTTCTTCTTTTCCTTCCTTCCTTCTTTGCTTCCTTCCTTCTTGCTTGCCCTTTCTTTCTTTTTCTTTTTTTGCTTTATTTCATTTTAATTTTTTTTAGCTTATGGCATAACCCACAGCAGAGTTAGTATCTCAATACGTCTGCTTCTAGATTCAGGTAATCCTCAACCTTTTGGACTGATTTTGCAGTCAGTATTTCTTGTCTTTGAGTTGGTATGGCATTTTCAATATTCAGTGGGGATTTCCAATTATAAGTTAAAAATAATCTCTTCTGTCCCAGGACACTCATCAAAGTATTGCTATAGTGGAATCTTCCCCGAAACAGAAAAATGAAAGCTAGTCTCTATCAGGGCTGTTTAACCACTGTGAAGTCCAATGTGCTGCCCACTTGACTCTGAGCTGGAGCCTGCCTGAGCCCTATAGTTGACCCACTTAGCAAACACGTATAAACCAGTGAGAGACCCTAACCAACTGCCAGTGAGACATTTAAGAAGTTTCATACAAATATTAAATCGCGTTTACTTGTCACAGATGGTCATCCAAAATGGAAAAGAATAACATATTTATATAGTCTATTCAAGTCCAAGAGAAGTTGAGCATTTACTCTCATTTCATAGTTTGTTAGGAAAGTTTGTAATGAGGGATTTGCAAGTGAACATGTTATGGTGGAAAAAGTGATGTGAATTTTTGAGCAAATTTTCTGCATGTTAGTGCTCTTGATGATTATATACTTATCGGATATTTGAAAGAAATAGAAGTAAAGCATAAAACTCAGGTTTATTTAATGCCCTCAGAAGGCTAGGCTGAGGAAAACAATAAATAAATTTTCAGAGCTACTACCGTTTTGGAGTTTAAACAGATCATGGAGCCTCCATTAACACACAAGATACTTTCTTACTGCTTTAATAAAATAAATGATAAGATTCTGTTAAAACAAACAGAATATAGTTTAATCTATGTAGCACCATCATTCTAGTTGGCATAGTAAAACTGATGAATGACTAACAGCACCTACAATTATGCTCTTTTGTACCAATAAAGTTTATTTAAGGCTGGGCATGGTGGCTCATGTCTGTAATTCCAGCACTTTGCCAGGCCGAGGTGGGAGGATCGCTTGAGGCCAGAAGTTAGACACCAGCCTGGCCAAGAAATCGAGACACTGATCTCTACCTCCCCCCGCCAAAAAAAAGCTGGGCAAGGTGGTGTGTGACTGTAGTCCCAGCTACTCAGGAGGCTGAAGCAGGATTGCTTGAGCCAGGAGTTGGAGTCTGCAGTGAGCTATGATGGTGCCACTGCACTCCAGCCTGGGTGACAAATTTATTTAATTGGTTTTGGTTTGATTTTGTATTATCATATTATTACTAAAACTCCAGAAAACTTTTATAGCAAAAACAAACAAACAAAAAAACAAAAAGAAGAAAGAAATAAAAGGAAAGGAGGATAGGAGAAAGGCAGGAAGGGAGGGAAGGAGGTAGGAAAAGAGGAAGGGAGGGAGGAAAGAAGGCAGGCAGGCAGGCAAGCAGATGCCTAAATAAAGAATACGTAGGGGCCTGGACAAATAAATTGCTTTATGGACTATTATGCACCCATAGAATAAGTTAGACCTACATGATGAGTAAAACTGTTTAGGATATATGAAGTGAAAACGCTAAAATAAGCGGGGGAGAAAAGGCTAAATATAAAATAATGCCGCCGTGTGTGAGAGGATCACAATGATATACAAATTCCAGGCTAACGGTGGCAAGTGGCTGCCTCAGGGAATGGGACTAAGGAGGGGTAGGTGGGGTTTGACATTTTACTTTATTAATTTTGGTATTGTCTGAGGGTTTTTTAAACCATAAATAATGTATTAATTTTAAAAATGCTTTTAAAGCCAGCATTTTCAATAGTTAACGGTCTATGCTTCATCAACGTTTTCCGTTTAAAACCTGTGTGCGGCCCATACACGTATGACATTCTGTTTATGTGATCACTGCTGAAAAAGAACTGGACGCCAGGAAATTAGGGGTTGAGCCCGAGGCAAGGTGGACGCCGGACAACGAGACACGGAATCCTAGACCGGCCCGGAAGTGCCTCTGCTCGTCCGCCTTCGAGGAGGGGTGGGCATCTTCCCCGCCCTACCATTGTTCGTGCAGCGCGCCTAGCAACCCCGGGCCGGTAACCCCCTCTCCCTCCTCGCGCGTTCCGGGTCTCGTGAGTTGGCTGTGGGGGCCGGGAATGGAGGAGTGTTGGGGAGGGTGGGGCTGGGAAAGGGGTGTGGAAAGTGAACCTCAGCCTCTGGGAAGTGGGAGACGAAGGAGGGGGCCGCGGTCAGTGCCGGCCGGCTTCAGGCGTCCCCTAGACCAGGGTGGTCATCCCCAGCTGTGGGGACATTGTACAAGAAAGGGTTGTAGGAGGACTGCGAGGCGAAAGGGTCACCTCGGTGAATAACGACAACAGGCTTAGGACTCAGGGAAAGAAACCCCCGGGAGAGGAAGTTAAGGACAGTTAAGACTTTGGCAGCCTTCAAGATGGAGAGCCCGTATACCCTCTTACCTCTAGATTCTAAAAGCAAATTAAGGGGCGTTGAATGGACTGGTTTTAAAGTACAGAATGTGACAGTTCCCGATTTCCTTAGTTCTTTGATTCTCAAACCTTATAATACATACAAATCACTGAGGAGCCCGTTAAAGGTGCATATTCTGGGGCTCCCTGTACTTCTCTCCACCTCCCAATTCAGATTCCCCAGATGTCTGCCACAGAGCCTGTCAAGCTGCAGTTAAGCTGCTGCGCTGTGCTTTCTGACATTTTGGAGACCCACATTTTGGGAACACCCCCGGGGTTTCAGGCGCTGCCTGGGTCTCTGGAGAAAACTTCTCCCTTGGGCTTCTTTGGCTTCTTAGGCTTCTTAGGATTGTCCTCACAAAGAAGTTGACCTTGGGCAATCTACTTAACTTTCCCTGGCTTCCATTTCTTATCTAATGAAATAATTATTACAATAAAACCTCAGTGGGTAATTGTGAGGATGAAATATGGTCTTGTATCTGAAAGCATATTGTAGACTTGTGCAATGTTGACTGTTACTCTTAAGTAGCAGCAGGGCGGTGTGGAAAGCTCCAGGGCTTGGAATCCACCCAAGCCTTTCTTTCTGTAAATTTAGTGTAAATAATACTAACTTTAAGTGGTTGTTTTGAAGATTAATTTAAGAAAACTGAAGTAAATAGTAAAGTAAATGTTGGTTCATTCATTTAGTCGACAGTAATAGTATTTCCATTTATTCTTTCTCTAATTTGATGTTTATACAGTGAGCTCAAACTTTTTATTCAGACTTTCTGAGTGATCTGTGCAGTCCCTAATTCATGGGCTGTTTTCCTCCACGAACTCTGTAAAGTATTATTGCTATTTCTTTTTCACATAAAGAAACAAAGACTGAAAGAAAATTTAAAAACTTGGCACAAGGTCACACAATTAGTAAATGTTAGGATCAGAATAAAACCTAGGTCTGGGTCAGGTGTGGTGGCTGACACCTGTAATCCCAGCATTTTGGGAAGCCAAGGTGGGAGGATCGCTTAAACCCAGGAGTTTGAGGTTGCAGTGAGCTGTGATTATGCCACTGCACTCTAGCCTGGGAAACAGAGTGAAATTCCCTGTTTTTAAAAAAGAAAGAAAGAAAGAAAACCCATATCTGGGTAACTTAAAAGCCTATACTCTTTGCACATTATGAATATATATATATTTCCATTATTTCCATCCTTTGGTCACCAAATCACTTTCAGAGGAGAGCTTTAGGGCCTATGATAAATGCTTATATTATCAGTTTCTGTCATCAGTTATTGTCATTTTTCCATATAAATAATTTATTTTTACTGCTTAGGCAGGCGCCTCCAAGGTTTGTCTTGAAGCATAGCTGCAGTTGGAGGGTACCTTTTAAGTTGTTCAAGGTCAAGATGAATACAAACTCAAAGGAGGTTTTATCCCTGGGTGTTCAAGTTCCCCAGGCATGGGAAGAACTTCTGACAATGAAAGTGGAAGCAAAAAGTCACCTCCAAAGGCAGGAATCCAGACTGAAACGCAATAATCCACTGGCAAGGGAAATCTTCCGAAGGCACTTTCGACAGCTGTGCTACCAAGAGACCCCTGGACCAAGGGAGGCTCTTACCCGACTCCAGGAACTTTGCTACCAGTGGTTGAGGCCACAAGTGAGCACAAAGGAGCAGATTTTGGATCTGCTGGTGCTGGAGCAGTTTCTGTCCATCCTGCCCAAGGAGCTCCAGGACTGGGTGAGGGAACACTGTCCAGAGAGTGGAGAAGAGGCTGTGATTTTGCTGGAGGATCTGGAGAGAGAGCTCGATGAACCACAACACGAGGTAGGAAGGGAGATTTGCTAGAGAAAAAAGTGTATTTTGGCATGCCAAGAATCCTTGTATCCTCTGCTTTGTGTCTCCTTGACATTGGTGACAAAATACTCTCCTTCCTGTTTCCTTCTTTTTTGGAAGTGTTTATTTCAGACAGTTAATTTCTTCAAAAGTCAAATCTTGTCTTTTTGTCTCCAGATGGTAACCCACAGACACAGACAAGAAGTCCTCTCTAAAGAGATGGTGCCTCTAGCAGAGCAGACACCACTGAGCCTTCAGTCCCAGCCCACAGGTGACTCTGCTCTGAAGTGCCATTCTGTTGGAGAGACAGGTGAGGGACAGCATTTATTTGATGTTGAACGAATCTCACCTGGTCAAGCAAAAACAAACAATAAACCCAGAGCTGGGAAAACAGGAGATCCAAAGACTCCTTACCAGATAGCAGCAATGTTCAGTGCTTCTTAGACCCTAGTGTGCTCATCTTTGATCCTTCTCCCTGTGTGCAGACTTCTCTCTCAGTACCATCCTGGAAGCTCTCTGGAGTTCTGATGCATGGTACATGAGGAAGGCTTTCAGGGATCGCTGTGGAGCACAGCTTCAGAGAATGGACTTCAAGGTTTGACAGACAGGTTCAGATCCTGGCATCGCCTCATGGAAGCTGCTTGTATTGGGCAGATTACTTAACCACTTGACCTCAGATCCCTCATCTACAAAATGGGGTTGATAATAGCTTTGGTTTAGTCTACTTGCGCTGCCTTAAGAGAATACCACAGACTGGTTGTCTTTAACAGAAATTTATTTTCTCACATTTCTGAAGGCTAGTAGTCCAAGATCAAGATGCTATCAGGTTTGGTTTCTGGTGAGGCCTCTTTCTGGCTTATAGATGGCCATCTTCTTGCTGTATCCTCACATGGCCTTTCTTTGTGTGCATACAGAGAGAGAGGAAGCTCTCTCATCTTCTTATAAGGACAGATACCATTCCTACCAGATAGAGCCCTACCTTATAACCTCATTTAACTTTTAGTACCTCCCTCAAGACCCTATCTTCAACTATAATCATATTGAGGGTTAGGACCTCAACATATGTGAGGGAATACAATTTAGTCCATAACCAGTATGTACCTCAGAAAGTCATTGTGAGCATCAAATACAAACAATTTATGAAAAGCACCTGGCATGCATTATGCTTAATACGTGGTCGCTATTGCCACAAATCACCAGTGCCACCCTTGCTGATTTGGGTTCATAGTTGCAGTAGAAAGATATGAGATATGCTTAGTAAGTGGCAGACTGTATGGGAGAATCCATTGAAATCAGACTTTACCATTTCCTTCTCTGTAATCTTCTGAATGGTGGCAGTGGCCACCCTTGTGGATATAGATCTGAGCACTTGGGACTGAATCAGCTGCTTCCCCATTCTAGCCCTCCCTGCAGGAATTATCTCCAGCTTGTCTGATTTCCCACACATAAAATCATACCCTCTTACTGACTTTTTGTTAATCTTCTGACAATCAATCTGTAGCAAGGTTCTGCTGTTTTCAGTTTCATACTACCCCCATATGCATCAAAGCTGCAAATTCCCTTGCCTCTTTGTCTCTAGCTTCTGTTTATTTCATTTACCCTAGCAATTATGGATTTCTGTTACATGGAACACATCTCTCGATTTAAATTAAAGTGTATGTGTTGAATAAATTCTGTGCAGACCTTCCTATAGCTCCCATGACTTTATCAGATTAAAATTGCTTCTGATATCATTTTTCCTCTTTATGAACATCTTTCCAGTCAATTTCTTTTTTTTTTTTTTTTTGAGACGGAGTCTCACGCTGTCGCCCAGGCTGGAATGCAGTGGCCGGATGTCAGCTCACTGCAAGCTCCGCCTCGCCGGTTTACGCCATTCTCCTGCCTCAGCCTCTCGAGTAGCTGGGACTATAGACGCCCGCCACCTCGCCTGGCTAGTTTTTTGTATTTTTTTGTAGAGACGGGGTTTCACCATGTTAGCCAGGGTGGTCTCGATCTCCTGACCTCGTGATCCGGCCGTCTCGGCCTCCCATTGCTAGGATTACAGGCTTGAGCCACCGCGCCCGGCCTCCAGTCAATTTCTTTCTTTCTTTTTCCTCTCTCTATGAACTTGGACCTTTTATTTTCTAGCCATTTCCTTTCTTCTACCTTCCAAACTACATCTAAAACCCTGCTGAGAACCCCCTTTTCCAAGAAGCACGTCTACATTTTCCATCTGTCCACTCATCTATCCATCTATCATTCAACAAGTGTTTATTAAGCATCTACTATAGCTGTAGGAGAGTATCCAGAGGGCATCTAGAGATTGTAGAGTTCTCTTTGTAGGATATCAGTGCAGGTATGTGTTACAAATTTAGGTAAAGCCAATATTATAAAACAACATAGTGTTTGAAATTACAAGGACCAAATTCAAGTTCCAGCTTTTCAAATTCTTAGCCAAGCAATATTTAATAGGTAAGTTTGAGTTTCTTTTTAAGTAATGCTGATTATTTAAAAATCCAAATAATACAAAAGTTTATATAGTAAAAAATGAAAGTTCTGCACATCCTACCTACTCCCTAGAGGTAACTACTCTTGTCACTTTGCTGCATATTTTCCAGATGTTTCTCTATATAGTCTGTCTACCCATATATATGTATCTTGCCGTATTTTCCTATAGTTCTTTAAAGAGATGGGATAATAACATCAAGGAGTTTTGTGGTGAGTCAGTTTGATAATATATTTGAAAGTGCTTCATAAGTCATCAAAGTTATATAAATGGTAATCATTGAAAGGTGGGAAATGTCCAAGTTTTTATATTCTACCCAGCTCCCTTATGGATTTCAGATTTAATATGAAGTTTGAGCAAAAGGGCACTACTGATCACACTTGGGGCCCATCTCTTCTCTACAGACACATTTTTATTTTCCAAACCTCTTGTGATCCCCCAGCTAAAAGGAGGAAGAGAACCACAGCCTAACAACAGAGGAGTCCTAAGAGGTACTTATTCTTGTGTGTGAGAGACAGGACAGTTAGATGTGGGAGAAAGATGTAAATATTTTGGTCAAAAGAGGAGGTCTGGGTCTGCTGTCCTAAGCCTGTTTCTGGGTTGTAAAGTGAAATCAGACCTGGGGAACCCAAGACATCCTAAGGATACCATAGCATCTGCTCTTTAGTGTTTAGACAGTTTGGGTCTGTTTCTCTCCATTCTTACCCTCAACTCCTCCAAGCAGAAAGGGTTTGATTGGGTTGGCTGGACACTATTCATTATGGACCAGTCCTGTGTGGCAGCCTTTGCTCCAGATGCCAGTTCCTGGGCCAGTCGGTTGAGGCCATAGTAGTAGAATTGGTTTCAATCCTTTCCCTTTTATTTGTTCAATCATTCAACAAATATTTTTTGAGCAACTACTGTGTGCCAGGCATGATTCTCAGGGATAAAACAGAAGGATCCTCCTCTCATAGAGATTAGATTGTAGCAAGAGGGAGACAATAATAAATATAAAAGTAAAGAGATGATACAGTGTGTTAGAAGGTGATGAGACTGTGGAATAAGGCAAAAATAGAACAGGATAAGGGAGATTAAGAGTGCTATGGATAAGGCAAACAGATCATGATATTAAATAGAAGAATTAAGATAAACCTCATTGAGAAGGTGAGTTGAACAAAGACTTGAAGGAAGCGAGAGAGTGGGCCTTGCTTTCATTTGAGGTGAGAAGTTTCCAGGAAGAGAGAAGCACTAGAGCAAAGGTCTTATGATGGGAATACACCTTGGATAATTGTGGATTTAAAAGTCATATACTATGGTAGTCCCCACTATTTAAGGGGATACATTCCAAGACCCCCAGTAGATACCTGAAACCAAAGCTAATACTGAATGAACTCTGTAATACTGTTTTTTTCCTATACATACCTAAGATAAAGTTTAATTTATAAATTAGGCATAGTAAGAGATTAACAACAATAACTAATAATAAAATGGAACAATTATAATAATATGCCAGCCTCACTACTTTTGCAGTTTGGGGCCATTATTAAGTAAAATAAGGGGTATGTCAACACAAGCACTGTGACACTGCAACAGTCAATCTGATAACCAAGATGGCTACTAGGTGTGCAACAGGCAGGCAGCATGTACAGAGCGGATATGCTGGACAAAAGGAGGACTCAATGTCCTGGGTGAGACAGAGCCAGATGGCATGAGATTTCATCATACTAGTCAGAATGGTGCCAAATTTAAAACTTAAGAATTGTTTGTGCCAGGCGCGGTGGCTCACGCCTGTAGTGCCAGCACTTTGGGAGGCCAAGGCAGATGGATCATGAGGCCAGGAGTTCAAGACCAGCCTGGCCAGCATGGTGAAATCTCATCTCTACTAAAAATACAAAAAAAAAAATTAGCCGGGCATGGTGGCATGTGCCTGTATTCCCAGCTACTCAGGAGGCTGAGGCAGGAGAATCGCTTGAACCCAGGAAGCGGAGGTTGCAGTGAGCCAAGATCACACCACTGCACTGCAGCCTGGGCGACAGTGAGGCTTCATCTCAAAAAAAAAAAAAAAAAAAAAAAAAGAATTGTTTGCTTCTGGAATCTTCCATTTAGTATATGTGAACTGTGGTTGACTGTGGGTAGCTGAAACTTTGTAGGGTAAAACCACAGATAAGTGGGGACTACTGTGCTGCCTGAAGCACCTAGAATAGTAGAAGTTTAATACTTGTTCTGAAAATGAATGAATGAATACATTAAGTAACTTTCCTTGGAAAGGGTCACTTTGAGGTTATCTCAGAAAGGAGAGAGAGGTCTAAGGGAAGACTCCAGAGAAGCCACCCTGATCTTTACCCATCCCTCCCCATGAAAAAGTATAAAAAAATACTGCCAACTGGGTGCAGTGGCTCATGCCTTTAATTCCAGCATTTTGGGAGGCCGAGGTGGGTGGACCACCTGAGGTCAGGAGTTCGAGACCAGGATATCCAACATGGCAAAACCCCGTCTGTACTAAAAGTACAAAATTAGTTGGGCATGGGGGTGCGTGCCTGTAGTTTCAACTACTTGGGAGGCTGAGGCAGGAGAATCACTTGAACCCGGGAAGTGGAGGCCACAGTGAGCTGAGATCACACCATTGCACTCCAGCCTGGGCTCCACAGCAACACTCTGTCTCAAAAAAACAAAACAAAACAAAAAAACAACTCCCCAGTTGAAGTCTACGTGGGGATGGACTGACCTGCATTTTGCCAAAGAGGGCAAACTTTCCTCCTTACCTAGGGGAAGGTGTTACCACACTAGCCCTTCTGTTTCTAGCCCACTTGCTTTCCTTTGATATATTTTTATAGACATAGTCACCTTCCCATATGCTCAGGGAACAAGTGACATTTACCTAGACTTTTTCTTTGTTTCAGATGAAATAACCAAGACTGAGGACATACAGTTGGTGCTAAGGAAAGACTGTCCTAAGATAGTGGAACCACATGGGAAAATGTTTAATGAGCAGACCTGGGAGCTATCACAGCAGGATCCCCCACATAGAGAAGTTGGTGAACATACGGACAGGATAGAGAGGCAGTGGGGAAACCTCTTAGGAGAGGGGCAACACAAATGTGATGAATGTGGGAAGAGCTTTACTCAGAGCTCAGGTCTCATTCGACATCAAAGAATTCACACTGGAGAAAGACCTTATGAATGTAATGAGTGTGGGAAAGCCTTCAGTCGAAGTTCTGGTCTTTTTAATCACCGAGGAATCCACAATATACAGAAACGGTATCACTGTAAGGAGTGTGGGAAGGCCTTCAGTCAGAGTGCAGGTCTTATCCAGCATCAGAGAATCCACAAAGGAGAAAAGCCGTATCAGTGCAGCCAGTGCAGTAAGAGCTACAGTCGGCGTTCATTTCTCATTGAACATCAGAGAAGCCACACAGGGGAGCGACCTCACCAGTGCATTGAATGTGGGAAAAGCTTTAATCGACACTGCAACCTCATTCGCCATCAGAAGATCCACACACTGGCTGAGCTGGTCTAGGGCTTGCTATGAGCAAGTTTTCCAGATCACCAGCCAAGTCATGTGGGGTAGCTTGAGGTTAGAAAATGCCTCTCTCTTCCTTTCTCCATTAAGTGTGTTTGAAACAAATAATGACTTACGGCCCAGGGACTTCCTAAAAGGAAAGTTGGGTGTTTGAAGCTACTGTTTTCCCTTTTGTTCGTTTTACCTCTTTCTTATTCTTACTAATTGTGTCCCTCTTATTTATTATTTATTTATTTATTTATTTTTTGAGACGGCTGCTAAACCCTTCTAATAATATAATAAATGGCACTGCTAGAGCCAGCATGCCTGAAAGATTTGGTGTCTGTGTTTAACTACAAAGGATAACAGAGTTCTACTGATGGTTTATAACAATTGGGTCTTTGGTGTTCCCCGTGACCAGGGTCTACACTATAAACACCTTTTCCACCTTACTGCTTCTCTCTGATACCTATGTGACTCTCCCTTGGAAAGTGACCAGCATGGGCTGTGTGTTTCAGTGTCTGCAGTGTGTGTCCACTTACTTAACCATAGTTGGTCCTCACAACAGCCATACAGGGAAATGAGCGTTATCATTATCCCATTTTACAGGTGAGGACTCTAAGGCTCAGAAAATCCAGGCATCAGAGCCAAGGCTGAAACCCTGAACTTTTGTTTTTAGTAATGCTTTAATTTTGGAATAATTTTAGACTTACAGAAATGTTGCAAAGATAGAGTTCTCATATTCCCTTCACCTAGATTCCCGTAACGTTAACTTAAAACATCGCATCTTTTTAGTTAAACCTTGTCTTTTAACTCCAAATCTCAATTTCTTTACGAAGTCATGCTGCATACTGATATCAGATTTCTACATTTTAGTCACCTGGAACTCCCTCAGAGTTTTTCTATCACAACTTCAGTGTTAGAAAGTGATCTGTATCCTGAGTACCAGGCCACATCAGAAAACTGGATTAATGCAGATAAGATGCTAGCTACTGTCCGAAATGTCCTCAGTCTTTCTCTTCTGTTTGCTTGGCTTAGGTCTAGAGAAAAAAATTTCTTCCCTGTATAGATCTTTAAGAAAATCGATTGTACGTGAGGCGTGGTGGTACAAGCCTATAATCCCAGAGCTTTCGGAGGCCAAGGCAGCAGTATTGCTTGAGGCCAGGAGTTCGAGACCAGTCTGTGCAACATAGTGAGACCCTGTTTCTACAAAAAAAAAATTTTTAATTGGCTGGGTGTGGTGGTATGTGCCTGTAGTCCCCTGATAGGAGGTTGAGGTGACAGGATCACTTGAACCCAGGAGTTTGAGATGGCAGTGATCATGCCACTGCACTCCAGCCTGGCCACAGAGAGAGACCCTGTCTCAAAACAAAACAAAACAAAAACCCAGAAACCTTGTCTCAAAAAAAAAAAAAATTCAGTTATGCTGCCTCCATCAGAAAATGTAAAAAGGAAGAAAATGTTTTTAAAAACTGGAGAAGACTTACGTAGCCTTAAGTGTTCTGCCCCAGAGGAGACTCTTTCTCAGTGAAGTTTACTCATGGAGAAGAGGAATCTCCCCTTCTTAGGACTAAAGACTTGAGACTTGAGGTTTTCCAAGGCCCTTTGCCTGCCCTCCCTTACTCCCTTTTATGATTACTAAGGCTGCAACCCCATCTCTGTCCTTTCATCTATTTGATTTAAATGTTCAGAGGTTTCCTGACAGATGGAAAAGGAAAAATGCTGCAATTTGCTTAGGATGAGTCCATACACAGTTGAGTTTTGCACTGTTTTCAGTAACTCCTAAATGTTTTGCAGAGCAGCCAACTCCAGAATCGGGGATTGTATAATTTAACTTTTTTATATAAGATTCAAACAGAAGTGGAATAGCATAGTGAACCCCATGAACTTGTTGACGAAAAGAGTCAAACTCTCTAAAATATTTGAAGAGACTTATTCTGAGCCAAATGCAAGTGACCATGGCCTGTGACACAGCCCTCAAGGGGGTCCTGAGAACATGTGCCCAAGGTGGTCAGGGTACAGCTTGGTTTTATATATTTTAGGGAGGCATGAAACATCAATCAAATACATTTAAGAAAAAGATTGGTTTGGTTCAGAAAGGCGGGATAACTCAAAGCATGGGCTTCCAGGCTATAGGTAAATTTAAACATTTTCTGGTTGACAATTGGTTGAGTTTATCCGAAGACCTGGGATTAATGGAAAGGAATGTTTAGGCTAAGAGAAAGGATTGTGGAGATTTTAAGTTTTATCATACAGAGGAATCTCTCAGGTAGCAGACTTCAGAGAGAGAGAGCAGGTTGTAAATGTTTTTTCTTGTTTCTCCACTGAATGAGTGGCCAAGGAAGTTGGATTTTAAGTCAAAACCCTTAGCAACACTTTCCCATCAGAGGGAAAATAAATTACCAATACTTAGCATCACATAAAAATGCCACAAAATGTCAGCTTAAACTAAGATACTCATTTCTCCTTTTGCATCAGGAAAAAGTTTTACACATTGTGGGAAGCCTAAGAAGAATTTTTGTGTCATAGTAGGTTTAAAGGATAAACTCCAGGATCATCTGACAGAAATGTTAAATATAATACCTTCCTATACCAAACAAATGGTATGGGAATTACTTATTAATGATGACATTAATCGTCTTGAGTGAGTTAAAATTCAAAAATTTAAATGTTAAAGTAGCCTCTTCTCTTTTTTTTGTTATGTCTTAATACCACATGGTGTAGTTAAAAAAAAGGAGTGGACCAGGAGCTGGGACCCCTGAGATGGAGTCCATGCCTAATCAATTCTAGAGTTTGGACCTTGGATAAGTCACTTGGGTTGGGTTTCCTAGAAGTGGAGCCTAGGCATGGATTCAAGTCTAGGGAATTTATTGAGGCAAAATAAGCTGCAGAAAAAAAGCTGCAAGGCAGAGAGGGAAGCAAGATATGGAAGAGGAAATGAGCTGAGCAAGATGTGGTCTGAGCTTAAGTCTAGTTTAGTGTAATTTGGAAGAAGGATCTTTGGAACAAACCTTACCCTTGTAAGATACAAAAGGGGCCAGCCTTTTGTACCTTGATCAGTGCCTTGTGGATTGGGGACTTCCTGGAGATAAGAGATTATCTCCCTTTTCCAAGGACAATTCTTCAGAGAAGGTGAAGACTGTGAGCCAGTAGCAGCCAGTGCTCCTGATAATCGGGGAATGGGTGCACTGACCTTCCTGGCAAATGGAGAATGGGTGTACTGACTTGGAAAAGGGGACCTGGGCAGGATACTACTGGCATCCATCACCACACTTAACCTCTCAGGCCCCAGTTTCTTCACTTATCCTCCTATTTGCAGGATTGTTTTTGAAAAACAGCAGCTAGCAATTACAGTCCTATAAATGACAGGGATACATCCTGAGAAATGTGCTGTTGTATGATTTTTGTCACTGTGCAAGCATCATAGAATGTACTTACACAACCTAGATGATATACCCTACTACGCACGTAGGGTAGGTGGTATAGTCTGTTGCCCCTAGGCTGCAAACCTGTACAGCATGCTACTGTGTTGAATACAGCAGACATTTGTAGCACAATGCTGTATTTGTGTATCTAAACATAGAAAAATGTAGTAAAAATGCAGTATGAAAGATAAAACGGTATACCTGTATAGAACACCATGAATGCAGTCTGTAGGACTGGAAGTTGCTCAGGATGAGTCAGTGAGTGAGTGAAGAGTGAATGTGAAGACATTATACTACTCTAGACTTTATAAACATTGTACACTTTAACTATACCAAATTTATTTTTAAAATATTTGTTGACACCATCACTACAAACACATGAATAATGCATTGCGCTAAGCTGTTAAGATAGCTACAATGTCACTAGGTGACTGAAACGTTATGTGGCACATGACTATATGAAAGGACAATGCAATCTATAAAATGCTGCATCAAACAAATAGAAGGAGATCAATTTTGCATATAATATGCCAAGGTAAAAGGAGTATCTGACATACTGGTGAGAGAGTTTTAAGTTGAAGTTTTTGTGAGACTTTTTCTTTTGCCTCATTTTTTTAAAAAGTGTATTACAGACTGTACTCACATGGGTTTTAAAAGTAAATTAATATTAAAAAGTAAAGGTTTCTGTATTGAATGAAATTCTCCATTTTTTATATATGTCTCTACCCAACCTAATCATTTAATCATACGTAAATTCCATTTGTTCTGCAACAGTCTCTCAACTAATCCATCTAAATGTTCTTTGATCCTAACTTCTTTCCTTCCCTGCTCTTCCCACCCCGCCTCACTACCTCTTCTGCTCTCAAAACATCTCCCTCAATTGTTTCTTTAGCTCTGTTTGAGAACTAACATTGAATTTAAAAAATAACATTGTTGTGAATAAGGAGAGTTTTATTTCTTCCCTTCCTTATTTCCCTTTCTTGTCTTGATGCAGTGGCCAATCTCTCCTGGACAATGTTGGGTAGAAATCATACTAATAGTCATCTTATGCCTGATTTTGAATGGATTCATCTAATGATTCATATCATATTTGTTGTGAGTTTCTGATAATTATCCTCCATAATATTAAAAACATTCCCATTTAGTCCTCATTTACTAAAAGTCTTTCTCACAAATGGGTATTGAATTTTATCAAATAATGTTTCTGCATATGTTAAAATGATGGTATAGTGTTTCCTCCTTTGATCTTAATGTGAACAGATTTTCTGTTGTTAAAATATCAGTTTTTCGAGTTTGTTAACTATTCAAATTTTTCTATAGCCTAAGTTTTTGTTTGCCCTCTGATTTTTTTTTTTTTTTTTGGTGGGGGGACAGAAACTTGCTGTGTCACCCAGGCTGGAATGCAGTGGCATGATCTCAGCTCACTGCAACCTCAGCCTCCTGAGTGGCTGGGAATACAGGCCTGTGCCACCATGCCTGGCTAATTTTTGTATTTTTAGTAGAATTGGGGTTTCATCATGTTGGCCAGGTTGGTCTTGAACTCTTGGCCTCAAGTGATCCGCCTGCCTTGGCATCCCAAAGTGCTGGGATTACAGGTGTGAGCCACCCCACCTGGCCTGATCTGTTGATTATTGGGAGAGATTTGTTAATACTTTGCTGTGGGGAAAAGACTTGTCAATTTCTCCTTGTATTATGTCAATTTTGCTTTGCATATTCTAAGGTTATGAGTTGAGGTATACAGAAGTTCAGGAATTGCATGTCTTCTTGACATGCAAATAAATCTTGAGGAATTATTCCTTTAATCATGATGTTTTTATTGCTAACAATGCTTGTGTGGTCTGATATGAATGTAACTAGGCCAAAATCTTTTAGAGATTATTAGCCTCGTATCTCTTTCTCATCCCTTTGCA